GCACTTAGTACTTCCAAAGATCTTATGCTTAACATAGTTGCATCTCAACACAGTTGTGAGAAAATCAAACTCGGATACTCCCTTAGCACTCCATGCCTTTGCCAACTGCACAATGCCCAACGAATTTTTTTCTTTTTGATAAAATGATTTATTGTGTTATACTTCGTATTCCTTTTTATCCAAACATTAAGTTCATGATTTATTTGTATTGTATTCCCTCTCTGCCAATTGAAGTTATCTGTATATTATTCACATGATTTTACTAATTTTTAAATAAATTTAATTTAGAATAACTCCAATAAATCTTGTAAACAACAACAAGTGACTCTTTTTAGGATGAAGGGATCGGAGTATGTTTTAGGGTCCTTTTGTTGAGTTTTGAAGGTATGCTATGAGTTTTGAAATTTGAGAATGATGATATATAGGTTTTGAAGTTGAAATGAAGTTGTTTGGAGAGATTTAAAAAGAATGATCTAATTAGTGCGTGATGGATAGAGGTGGCCGACAACATGGATGATTGTCAGTGACAATGGTAGTTGGTGGCAGGGGATAGCCATCAGTTGATGAAGATATCAAACCTTCATATTGATATCTAGTCTTTCAAATTTGAAAGATATTGGAATCCTTAGTTTGAAAGATTTATGATATAAAAAGATATTAAATCCGATATCTTTTTTTCTCCCCAAATACGCCCTTAATATTATTTGCAGTATTTCCTACGAAGTACTAATTTGTACACCCTTTATCCCAAATTAATTGGAGAAAGACCAAAGTAGGACTATAACATTGAAAATATACCAAAATAGGATTTCCATGTTTTTATTTGTGAAATTAGACTTAAAATGCATGTACATTATCAAACATGGTCATGTACAATACCAAAAAGTATAGTGATGTGCACATGTACAATGCCACATTAACACCACATTACCACAATGTGAAGTCCTATTTCAGGAAAAAATATGAAAGTCTTATTTTTTGGTATTTTTCTCTATGTTTTAATCCTACTTAGAGTGATTTCTAAAATTAATTTTCTTATTTGCCTTTACATGTAATTTAAGGAAAAAATAAAATTATTTGGTCGATGTTTATAGAGAGGAGAAAGAATTAATGAATATGAATTACTTATTCCATTTTTAAAATGAGAAGTTTATTTTGAGATAACCTAAAAAAAAGAAATTGGAAAGGTTAATGGTGACGAACGGACTACATACGGAGTACGGAGTATAAAATAAGGATATAAGGTTGTTTATTTAATAAATTTTAGCAAGTTATATTTGCCTTAAAATAAATTAATATATATTATTGAATAAAGCTTTTGAGAGAATCGGAAACTTTGAAGCATAGTAAAATATTTAAAATACGATAACTAGTTAAATAAAGTTATTCTCCAATTTGTAAAGTACGGAGTATAGTTTTTTATTTTTTGAATATTTTATTTCATTTTATGCAAATTCTATGGTGGACCTAAGATTTACCATGAATCTACATATGAGCAAAACAAATATTTCTATACAGCTTAAATAAGTATTTGTTTTTAAAAAAATAAAAAAAAGTTTTTTCTGTGAGAGTGTCCAAAAATGATATGCACCCAAGGTGCACCAAAAAAGCACTCTAAATTTTAACTATTTGAGTTTTTTTTTTTTTGCAAAAACTATTTGAATACTTGTTTAATACAAAATTTATTTTTTATAATTTTAAATTAACTCTGAAAAAAGTTTCCAGTGACGTTCCCCTCAAACCCCCACCATGTTTTTATAGCTAATGGTGGTGCTCGAGTCATATGATCATATCTTACGGACAGAACACATTTCCTTCCCTATTACCCCCTCCGTCCGGGGTGAGGGTTGACTACATCATTAAAATGTCCAAATTACCCTCCTATCTTTTGCCCCCCACCTCCACTATCTTTCCTTTGCACAGCCCACCGCCACCCCTCTGTTGCCCCAGCCCCATCGGACCACCACCCGACCGCTATCCGTGA